GTGGTAATATCTCAAATATATCACTCAATTGATAATCTTCTCAATATGTTTTCCGAGAGAGCATAAAGTCTCACTATTTTCGGATAAAAACATTTTCTACGTGACTCAAGAACCCTCTTGCCTTAAGTCAATTTCATAATAAAATATGTTGCCAAGTGTCTTTATTATCATCGTTTGGTTGCAAATTTCTTGTCTCTTGAAAATCATTTTGCTCAGACTTTGCTGGTGAAACTTAGCATAGACAAATGAGAAAATCACCAGCAAGTCTAGTGAGCATCACTTCATTTAAGATGGGTACATACAATTAATTTAAAATGCATTGACTTCCCTTTTCTGCATGAATAATATTACCGTATGATGGTGGAAAATTGTGGTTTCGTTCGGTGAGAAGCCTCATGAATTTTGATTTTATACACATTTCATGTAAAACTGACAATTTTCAATGAATTCATTTGATATCCCAGGGAAGTTTACGGGAAAGCCATTTAACAAAGTTCTCGAGAACCTATTAGTCTATATTTATTGCGATTTAGTATGGAAAAGCTCACACGCGGATTGATATTATTCCATATGTATGAATATGCTATGAACACACGACTATGATCCGTTGTTTTAATCAGACAACGTCACGTTCGTTAGAAAGCGAGTGGCGCAGAGGAAAGAATTAAACAAATTGATATGTGATAATTTGCTAATAGATATACAATACGGCGGATTATGTCTGGCTAGCTTATAGATCCACCCCTCAGTGGCTCTTCGCCTGGCCCCCAAATTGATATTCTCTCTGTATTGTGGCAATATCTAGTGTTTGAACCGTTTAATATCCTGAACACGAGAAACAATTTTCCCAATTTTGTATTCATATTGTGCAGTGAAATATGTAAATTTCCCCGGTAGACACACACAATGTGTATGTGGAATGCACTAGGACGATACCAGCGAGGTGGGGGAATGAAAGAGTGAAACAGTGTACAATTTATGTACAAAACTGTATGAGTTTGTCATTGATATTCGCGTATGTGGAGGCGCTCCCCTCTGGGTCTGGAGTTCTATGGCTCGGGTTCGTCTGAAATTTGATTATTTTAATTGAAATCCATCACCCTCAATCAAATTTGCAAATTCCCTGGTTATAACTCAGTTTATTCATTTCGAGAATGAGAAGATTCATGAGCCACAGATTCTCCATATGCCACTGAACACACATCTTCTGCGGCTCCCAGTGCGATTCCAATGGGGACCAATTTGTCGCGCGTGTGTGTGTGTGTGTGCCAAAGGCCCATCTTATTATTGTACTGAATGCACACGGAGTTCTCAAATATCATTCCTCTTCATAATTGAATGCCAGTGATGGGTCCATTGTGCATGTTGCAATACAATGGACGATGCTCGTAATTTATAGGTGAAATGCATATTGTATAGCCTAGGACGTTATTAATATAATATTTCATCGAGATGCTGAGATGGTGATGGTCAGATGACCATCAGCAGAGGTGTGAGGCGGCCTTTCTGGCTCCGAGCCTCCTGCAAGAATTCATATTTGGTCCCCATGTCTCCACATGCCATGAAATGAAAACATGAAATCTCAATCATTCACCACCACAACCCCGGCAAACTTTACAAGTCAACTCGTACACCTCAATAGCCAGAGCTAACCCACATTGTTGGCCAGAAATCAGGTGATTATTGAACGGACAGACGCCATTGAATGAAGCCAAGATACAACACTGAGAGTAAGCTTTGTTCTTGCCCCCAGAAATTATATTAACCCAGTACAATGTACACCATCACAGCCATGCCAGAGTGTTGATATTTTGAGGATGCAAACCATTTCCCAACGATGGAGCTATTTAGTCGGTAACCGAGAAACCACGGCTTCCAATAATTGGAGGCTTCGACACTCGAAGCTTGATATTGCAAAGCACACACGTGGTGATATTGAAACCAACCATGGAAGTGTGTTCTTCCCTATGAAATTAATGAAAATTTCGCAGATACCATAACTCTGCCTTTTAATTTTCTTAAACAGAAGCTCAGAATTTGGATAAGGGTTTAGATTTTTTATGCAACATGATCGAAATGCAGTAATCGATGATTCAGTATACTCGATTGTGTGTTCCTGGTCCTTCCGTATGGACGAGAATCTACTGTAAAACTGGTAATATTATTTCCGCAACGTAGTGAAAGGGTTCGCTTAGTAGAAGGGATGAAAGGGCGCTGTTAGAGAGCAGTTTTGGCGTGCCAAAATGTCTGGGGATTCATCCGTTGAACTCCCCCAAAAGCGCAATCCAGCATCATCGACAGGGAGTCCTCAGCTCCGGGCTGAGAGGATTTGGGGTCGTGTTGAACAACTTTAACATTTGATGGTGCCATATGGCGAACATGACCGCGTGTGGTTTATTTAAATTAATTCTTTAATATAAATTCGCACACACCAGGCGAAGAGCCTTACATGGCAACGATTAGGGGTGATAGTGGATGATTGAGAGTGGAATTAACCAAAGAAGTTGAAGCTCGAGGGAAGATAAAAAAAATGCAATTAGGAGCACAAATTGCACAAATTAGACCAAATTGCTGCCACTTGCTTGAGAGATTGGGAAATAACTCTCAAGCTGTGGTGGAATTTTTCAGTTCATCAGTAAGTTGAGAAAGTGTACTTTATTGATTGGTCAAAATTATATTTCAATTATGTTAGAATGAAAAATCAACAGTTCATATTGCGATGCAAACCCACGTTGTAGGCTGGATTTTGTGGACAGTGTGATGGCAGTCTGCAAAGCGATTATTGATGGTCTGCATGACACTGTACTGGATGTCTATGCTGAAAACTTTTATCATTAATCATTTCGATGGTGTTCATGCAAAGGCAGTTGAGTGAATAAATGCCAATATGTAATAAATTGTATGTTCTTGCTTGCGCATACAACAGATTGCAATCACAAATCGGTTTTTGGTTCTGCGTTACAAATTCTCTAAAGAAAGTCTCAAATAAATAATTCTAAAGTGAATAAAGAGATACAGTGGTTCTTTATATTTCCAATTTCCTCTATTGTAACAGTTATATGACATAAATAGATTCACTCAGTTGAAATAAAGTTTCCTCAAGTTATAAAAATATATTTCCATCATATTTTTTCAATATCCACAAGTCGTTCGCAGTGCATTTTTAGGGGAGGCCAAAGTGAATAAACACAATAAAAATTGTGCTTCTTCTCTTTGCTGCTGAGGTTGAACATATTCGACTTGTAGACACTAATGGGAAAGTTTTCGATTGTGTAATAGAATTTGCTCACAGAACGTCAATGGCCAGAGGCAAGGATTTTTTCTGCTCTCCCACTAAATCAGCCTCTTGAGGAGCTTTTTGTGGCTCCTATCAATTCCCATCAGGAAGACTTCCTTTGCCATTAGGCAGGTCATATCTTCTTGTGGGGGAAATATTGATTATTTCCCCCCCCCCCCCCCTAAATGTATGAAGGTATAACAAGCTTTCGCGCGGAAGGTGTCTTTCAAAACGTTTTTCTTATGAATGGAATGTCATTATTTGCGTATGCGGAGAAAATAATACAGCCTGCAAAGATGGTCTGAGGATATGTATTTCAATGTTTTGGTTTCAACTTGAGGGGAGATACAAAATTTTAAGAGAGACAAGGAAGGAAATAAGGGTACGCTGCCGACTCACCTTGGTTGAAATTTCTTTCTTCCTAAATAGAATCACGATGTAGAGAAAGGTGAATGTCGTTTTGCTCCAGTCATTCGCTGTAATGCAAAAATCTGAGATTTTTCAGATATACGTGAGATACTGTGTTAAATGAGATGTGAATACATGGATTTATTCTGTATGACATTTAAATTGAGTGGAAAATATTCCAAATGAATAGCATAGAGTTGAATATACGTCGTTTTCTCATGCATTAAATGATGTTTGCTATTCGTTAAAATTCACAGCGAAGTGAGAAAAAGGGGTGTAAAATCCACAGTGACAATTCAATATGACTGAGTGCCAATTTCATAATGAATCCCTTGGAAAAGCGTCGAGGTGGAAGAACGTGGCGACTGAGGGGTAAAAAAAATTCTTCAAAAAATTGAGCGAAATTGCGCCATTTATTTGCTATTAAAGTTGTTGACAGGTCCATAAAGTTAGATTAATTTTTCGTTCATGGCAACGAGTTTGCTTCTTCGTCACTTCTCCCACACCCAATCTGGCGGCGGGAAAGTAACTATATTCGCATTGGGAAATATCGGCAAACTCTTTCGAGACTTCTTGCGCTACAGTTCCATCAATTTATAAACCCTTGAATACTTTTTCTTCGCCCCACAGCTGGAAGAAGTTGTGAGCGAATGAAGCCGCCAGAGGAAGATGTATTGAGAGTTGGCATTTTCTTGACCACATTGAACGACCTATAGAAATTCTTTATTTCCATTGTGCACCATTGAGAAGATCATCAATTCAAGGGTTTTTCCGTAGCAAATTCCCCTCATGTTTGTCATAATAAATTCCCATATTTTCCATTTTTCAATGAGGACCATTATCTCGTTATGTCCATTGGGTGTGGGCATGAGCACAATAGGTTCACAGTGCATTTCATTGGAAAGGCATGATTCCATCGTGATTGCTATACATCAGCCCAGACTCCACTTGAAAACACGCTTCAGCTTGTATTTATGAGAGGAGCGAAGAAAGCTCCCAGTCTCTTACGGTCATTTATCTTGCTGGTAAGCTCTTCTCCACGAACGGTGTGATGGCGGGAGCTTTGCAGACAAAAGACTGACTGATAATAAAGTGATGTTCTCGCTTCATTTGCATCGAAGAGCATTACTTGCCATGCCTTTCACTGAGGGCTTTAAGCCATCATGCAAGCATTTCTTGCAATCATTGAATAAAAAGTCTACGAAGGTGCGAAAATTCATGTCTACACTCGGAATTTTTGCAGCTTTTCTCACCATTTACTAAGAAGAAACACATGCTTTTGATATTTTTATTTAAAGCACTTATATATTTCCCTTGGTATATTTTCATCTGTTCAATATATGTATATAAATTATTTGGTATTCTTTATATAGGCTAAAACATTCACGTACGTATATTTGAGTATTACTTTCATCTTAGAATATATCATTTCTCTCGGTCATTCTAAAAATGTTCAAACAATAGTCTTTCTATTAAATCAACAAGTGTCTCTGATTAAGCTCAAATCAAAGGTGCTTTTACGAATAGGATACTCTTCTATGAGGCAGTTGTTTGCCAGTCAAAACATGGCATTTTTGCGTTACACCTTTTCTCTTGATATCTCCTTTCATTTACGCTAACAACACGTCAATTACCAAACACTTCCACCGACTCATTTTGTATAACATTTTCTGCATTTTGTAAATTCTCCATAATTTTCGACACTTTCGTATTTCGACAGCAAGCAAACAATTCAGTTTAAAGTATAATTTAATTAGACACTCGACATTACATCTTTCTACATTTCTGCAATAGTATATATCGCATTGTCTTACAAGTGGTAATGTAGTTTACGAAAAACCGCGCTTCTTCATTATCTTAAGACTCACAAACTTTAAATTATCAATTTGCAAACTATCCTTCTGTGTGTATAGTAAAATATTAATACTAATGTGGAGCTTACAAAGTTTTAATAAGTAATATGTCCTATTTGATATACATATGTATAGTTTATATGTGTTAAACCCTGCATTTGTCTTAAATTTCACTAGAATTAATATGTCACTTTATGTTCTGCTATAAGTAATGCTTCTCTACGCTAAAAGTATGGCAAGTGCGATGCAAAATGTGTGTGTTACAATTTGTGATGGGGATCCTATTTGGGAAGTAATATTTCTGGTTAACAGACTGTAATAAGACAAATTGGAGACATCTTCAAAAGATCTTACCTTTGCTAACTTCTACTGGAAGGTTGTATCCTTTTGACTTATCTGTGGACTTTTGCTCTGATTTTCCGATATCGTTCAAATTTGATGTCATTCGAGAAGCTTTAAAAGAAGATAAATAGAAAAATGATGTAATGATAACGGTTAGTTTGAAAATTCAAAATGCGATCAATTTTGTGTAAATGAAGCGGAATTTGAAGAGGGATTTATTACTTTTGTCCAAAATGTAGACCGAGGGATGGCCATTTGCGGTGCTATTGAGGCCCCCCTTGGCATCCCATGTGTCTCTGCGCTGAGACTCCGTGGTTGTTGGTCCCGGCGAGAGGGTGGTGGGCGGCGAGACTGCAATAGAAATTCTCCTTGAGCAAATAAATCGCCTCACATATCGACGGAGTATTTGAGGCGCGCACACACAGTCCAGACGATTTTTTGATTTTCACTATATTTTAATTACCAAGTGCAGCTGCGATTCGAGAGATTCAGTTTCATGGCACACAACCAAATTTTATCCATAGGAGAGCCAGGAGAGTAATTTATATTCCGGTCGTGCCTCCGGCTCTTCTCTCCGGGGCCCCGTCGAAAATGAATGTGAGGGTGTTTTTCGTCTGATCACAAGGGCTGGCAAGTGAGGCGAATGCTCAAGTTATGGGGCTGAATTAAGGCCAGAGAGGAGTTGGGCGACAGTGAAACAGAGAGCGTATTTCCCGCACTATTTGTGTGCGCCATAACTGATTTATTGGCAATTTTCTTTTGAAAAATGCATCAGTCGAGACGCGATGAGATTTTAATTATGACGAAAACGTAATCCGGACGAAAAGCTGGGGCAAGGGAATCAGGGAAAAAGCTATGCGCGCGTATGCTCTAACATGGACAAAAACTTCGGCGAAAACCCCATTGCAATACCACTCAAATGCTCGCCAAAGTGTTCACATTTTGTCCATCGGCTGTATAGAACGTGAATATATATATATCGGTAAATACGGAAAAATTGTGTCGATTTATGCATTGAAAAATAAATATTGAATTGGATGAAATGCTGGTAAGCATCAGGTGTATTCATTTAAAAATTAAAATATACCGCATAAAAATTATTTTTTATTATTTGCACAAGTGCACCGTACTTTTCATCATGCACACAATCTTTTATTTATAAAGTGAAATTGCAATGTGCCAATTAATTATTGACAGTTATGCATATTTCCACTACGACGCTTTTTTGACCAATCACAATGACGCATCGCGGAAATGAAAAGACTGAAATTTTTCATTTCCAATGCAGAATTTGTAGCGAGAAATGCCACGTATTTTTCTGTGCCTGAGCAGTATTTTGTATAGGAAGAAATAATGAGTTTAATGCGGTGTACAGATTTATGCCATACAATTATGCTTTGTACGCACGGTCAGGTGATGGTTTCTTAAATCAAATTAGCCAAATTTTACGTGTGAAATACAAATTTCTGTTCAGCAGTGATGGTCAGCATGACTTTCAAATCATGCATATTGTCAAGAGTTGAGCAAATGTTTGGCTGCCGCCGTGAATTCCCAACGGTGACAACACTTGCCAATGTTTCTCGAATCATCCCCGATCTCATCCCACCACTTGACTCTGACTTGTGTGGCATCCCGACACCCGAGCATCTTGTACATTTTATGGCTCCGCTAAAATTTAGAATGTTTCATCCTCGCTACGTAAAAACAATTTATCTTCCTGAACATCGTCGTCATCTTTATGTACACTCCACGACTCCCTCGAGTCATGCCACTGAGGAGTAATGTGCAATACGCCCGACGAAGCGGGAGGGCGAAAGTTGTCTGCATGCTGAATCCGTCGTCCGTTGAATGGTTGTAAAAATCATAATGCGAATGAGTTCCTATTTTGGCGGGTTGGGACGGAAAAAGCGCGGGAAGGGTGCAAAATGCTCAAAAGCCACACATCGCCCCGGGGGAAATGATAGTCTCTCCCCCGCTTTGTACGGCAATGTGGCTGTATTGTTACTATTTGCCTGTTCACTTAAGACGGAAGTACTTGGCAAAATTGCCAAGGAAGCATCATACTGATTTCAAAAGTATTACGGAAATTTCCTTATTAACTTTTTTTGCCACCGCGCCCGCCGACTCGGGCAGAAGGCATATAAAAGGGAGATATTTCGCATTCAAGTGCTCAACAATGGGCCACTGTTTTCGGGGGATTTTTATATTCATTTTATATGATGTGCGGTTAGCCGGAATGTCGGGAAATGCTTCCGAGATTGAATATTGAAGTGACTTTAATCTTTTAAATTAATATTTGGCAATGCCTTTCTTATGTCAATTCCTTTATTTATATTGAATTTGAAATACGTGGGAAGTAATTAACAAGTCTATTCGTACCAATTAATGTGCTTTTAGAGGGTTTGTGCTTTATCTCAAGAAGCGCACAACTCGTGTGGGTTTATATGTACAATATAATGCCATCGTATTTCATTATTCCATTATAGAGATGATGCTTTTTTTCTCAGCAGTTGGGATAATCCTCAAAGTTTTCATTAAAATCCTAAAGGATTTATTATGTATGTATATCAAAACCTTTGCAAACACGCTATTTATTTTATTGATCGCTTCTCAGATGGTCTGTTTACAGGCAATAGTGACACTTTAAGGTTTATTATTGCCTGTGCAGAGGTAATGTAGAGTCTGTCTTGAGTCTTAATTGCCACTTTTTGAGATACTTTTAATTCGATTTGAATAAACTGGAATGCGAAACACCTCCTTTCTCACCTCTCCAACGCCCTCTGAGACAATTAAGGCGAGATTGTGAGCAACGGCAGCCGACAATACGCTAAGATGATGATGATGATGTAATCTTAACGACTTTTACTTAATTACTTTGACACTGTCATCTTCATTAGCGCGCCACCCACCCATTTAGCGGCAACAGACAATGGCAATGGGGGAGACAAAGCCCGGAATACCACCTTCTCAGTTGTATCAATCGCCCATTGACTGCGGGAAATATTATATTTTCCCTGCTGTAATTTTTTATTTTGTATCCAAAAAGAATGATTAATCGGACAAGATGTGAAAGGTAAAAGTCATAGCACTCAAAACTCCTCCTGCGAAGCCACAAAATAATGGGGAAGCTTAATGAATCGATTTTTCATTTTGTCGACTGATTTTCCCATGAATAATTATTTCACATCTTGAGGAAAATGTGTCGCCTCGAAAGAAAAATTACCCCTGACGATGATTTTACATAAAAAAGAGCCCTTCTCTCCATGACACAGAATCATAATTCAGGGAAGCATAGTTCTGCCAGAACGTCCCCCATTTAAATTTCATCTCAACACCAAAGACTGGGAAAGTTCTACAATTTGAAAATGTGCGCTATGTATTTCCGGAGGCGAGATTGAGAAGAGAGACGCTCTTCATGTTGTAATTTTTGGGGGTGGAAACTTTAAACTCACCGTACAGACGAATTGCACCATCTGTCTCACCGCGTGGATTTTTGGCGACACATTTGTATGAATTTTCATCAGCCTGACTTGTATTGGAAATTGTGAGTCGCATGTGGGTCTTGTAAGATGGATTGCCGAGAGTCGTTTCCGATCTAAATGAAAGGGAGGAAAGAATTGCGCTCATGAATTTACAAGCAGTATCGCGCAAATATAATTCATGAATTGGGTGTTTATAAAGTACTCACTTGAATTTCTTCGAGTCGTGTATCATTTGTCCTTCTCCGAGAGTCCAGTAGTTTAAAGATGTTCTGCAATTGCAAAAATTCTGATCAGATCTAATGCCTTTCTTAATCGTTTAAAGAAGCCTTGTGCTATTTCAAAGCAATTGTGCTAGTGATATTGACAGTTTTGTAACTCATTTAACTTGCCATGAGTGAAAAGCCCCAAGAAATTATCCCCGGCTCAGGGTATTTATGGTAATTGATTAAATTTGCATGCATTGGAAACTTGGCAGTTGCAGTACTTACGGATGCGCTTCGGTGAAGCACTCAAGAGTGACATTGGCACCGGATGGAACTCCTATTAATTGATGTGGAATCCACAACATGGGCGGGACTGCAGAAGAAAAACAATTAAAATATCAATGCGCACAGGGGTAAAACTGCAAGTTGGCAATAAATTGAAATTAATAGAGAGGCGGGAGTGAAAATGGATATCCATCTCGATGATGCATTGAAATCCCTTTCCATGCCATTAGTGAGTCGAAATGACAAATTAAAAGCAATTTATTCACTGGTGGCGGAGCTATTGTCGTGCAAATTGGGAAAAATACGGAAAATGTCACCATGTGGAACCATTTTATTTGATGAATCGCCCCGCAGTTCACGCATTTTTGCACCCTTTTTGCTCCATCATTAACCATTTTTGGATAAGCATTTTCAGAGATAATTAGTAAATATACAGATTTTACTTCTCATATTGCACTACAGCAACTGCACAGCCACGCAGATAATGAATTTCATGCAATCTAGTAAGAGATATCTGGTTCTTTTCATCCCTCCATAAACTATATGGGCGAAAGTGTGAATTGAATTATGTTGCATGCCGGCGAAAATAACCAGCAACACCTCGTCTCGCCGTAATTTACGGAAAATAAAATGAAAATTTGCTCTTTGTACTGGCTTTCTGCTATTTTTCACTTTTCTTTGACTGCACACCGAGCATTTATATGAATCCATTTGCGCTCGCCCTGAAACATTCTTTGAGCACTTCCGTCACGTACTGGTCCCACCCCCAGGATTTATCTTCCGCCACCCCTAAGGCGACATCAACTCAAAGAGTGATATTTGCGGTGGCATCAGCTGACAGATAAATAAACAGAGACAGTCTTTCTTGAATTTTCCCACCAGACACACCAAGGCTACTGAGGAGGACTTTAAGGGCGCAAAATATAGTAATAAATTGTCCTTAGTCCACATAAATATATATGGATATGGCGGGGATTTCTTAGATCCTGTTAGAGCATTTGTCAGCTGCAATAAATATTGTCTTGTATTCATGATTTAAAACCCCTCTAAATACTGCCAGTGGTATTCTTTGTAATGCCCGAGGAAGACACTGCGCGGCTGTCGCAGAACTCAAGCCCAGAGTGTGAACTTTCGGAAAACTTTAAAGCCCCCACAGAAGAGCGGCATAAAATGCATAATCACAGGTAAATAAATAATCGACCGACTGAGATACTAAATCCCACCCTCTCATCATCCGTCTCTAACTATGCGATGGCCAGGCTGATAAAAAATGGTGTCGCTTCAATCGTCCTCGCATTCTTTTTCACATTTTTTTGCAGTACTCCATTCACTCTCCCAGTGGAATGTCTGCCATTGGATATAAGATGGTTTTTTCGCTGTGATTTTGCATGAATTACGCTTAGTATTCATGAACTGGGGATACCCTGTCGACTACACTTCAGCACACGCAAAATGATGAGACGTGCTGAATGTAATTAAGAAAAAATGAACATTTTCCCGGACAGTGGTCCTTTTTAATTCCCGCGTGTTATTCTCTGGCTGAGAATTTACTGCCAAGGATAATAGGCTTCAGCAGAAATATATTTTGAAGTCACTATATTTAGTCACTCCAAAGTTGGGACCATTAACTTTGTGATTGTTAAATAATTCTTTTGATTATTCGTGATTTTTATTTAAAATTTGATTACTTCATACAAATTTGAATTTTTTCGATTATTCTAAATAATATTTGATTATTCTTTGAATTTCTTGATTTTTAATATTAGATTATAATAATAATATTATAATCAATTAATAAAATTATATTCTGAGGAATACCTCAAAAACAAAAACTGTTTTGTTCTGATCGGGGCGTCATGCTTTTTCCAATGTGCAATTTTAAGAAATGTAATTTTGGTTACATGGTAAAAATGAGTGAATAATTATACAATTGAAGTCATGCACAATTTTTAGATTTGATAAAGAGTGGAAACTCTCGAAGTGATATGATAACGCATTAAGTGGAGATAAGCGAGTGCCATGAGACATTCTGCAGCTCTATTGAAATCAGTTTGTGGAAAGTCTTCGACCACAGTGGAGATCGATAAATTGTATCAAAATATATTTGTGTGTAATTCAATACGGAAATGAGTGAAGGGCGATCTTCATCAGCAACAACTGCTTGTAACGTCAATAATCTTAGTGAAAGACTTCAAAATCAAATGTTTTTGCAAAATCAATCACTGAATATGCATATTGAAGAGGAGAGGCTGAAAACGTTGTCTCGCTGGAATCTTGAAAATGTTGATAAGTTCACTATTGCGATGTTGGGCTTGTACTTTGTGAGGGAGCCGGATGTATTAAAGTGTGCCTTTTGTTACGTGGAAATTATGAATTGGAATCCTGAAGATGATATCTTTCTCAGACACTTTATGGAGAATAGCTACTGTTCTTTGTTGACAATGAAAGCCAACAATAATGTCGCCTTGAATCCTGAAGAGCTGGATCGCCTGCTTATAAATCTGTCTTTCTATCCACAATCGTTTAACGAGGAACGATCTGATAATGCAATCGAGGAATCTAGCGAGGAAACAACGGAGGAAGCTGGAAATGCAGTCGCTTCGACTGAACCTGAGGAGTCAGCTTCTGCCATCTGCGCCTTTCCCCACTATGAAATGGATGATGATCGTTTTCGAACTTATGACAACTGGCCGCTGAATTCCTCAAAAACCCGCACGGAATTATGCGATGCTGGATTCTTCTACACCGGCAAGAGTGATATTGTAACTTGCTTCTTTTGTGGCGGCAGTTTAGGCGAATGGAAGGAAGAAGAAGATGTCTGGGAAGCCCATGCCTTTTTCTTTACCGATTGCTCATATGTGAAATTCGTAAAAGGAGATGAATATATTGATGAAGTGAAACTCAGATATAACAAAGAACTCTCTCTAGAAGAGGTGGTTTCAGAGCAAATTTCACAGTTATCATGTTCGGATGAATGTGAAGATGAGAGAACAAAAAGGGAAAAAGATACTGAATTGAAAAAGGCAATGTCATCAGATAAAAGCTGCAAAATTTGTTATGACCAGGAATACAATACCGTATTTCAACCTTGCACTCATGTAGTTGCGTGTAAGTCTTGTGCAACTTTAGTTAAAAGATGCCCTCTTTGTCGAGAGGTGATTCAATCGGTTACAGAAATACACTTAGCTTGAGCAATTATCACAGCAGAAGCAGAAATATGCCTTTCTTCTTACCATTTGGGATTACTGCAATCTACCGATAACCAGAGCCGAGACCAACGTTCACACCGGGAAACCTTCTCAAGTGATAAGCATGTTTTCTATCTTATATTTTTATTGCTTTTTTTCTCGGAAATAAAGTCAATCGCCGATGTTATCTGTGTTCCTGATATTTGATAAACCTTTCTTTACGATCATTGTGAATATCAAAATGTGGGCTTGAAAATACTCATTTGTGCAGTCGGAAAGCCAAACACTTGTCTTCCTACCATTCACAATTCTGAGAAGAGTGTTTGAATGTTGAGAAAATGGAGTGTGCTCGAAAAGGCACGTTTTGAAGCAAACATATTTCCAGATTCGCCATAGTTCGCACTCACTGAATGCATCAATATGGGAGTTTTCCATTCAGCAACACGTAATAGTCTAAGAAGGGGTTTTGCGGGCGTCTGGTTGAGAGTCAAAGTGTATAAAACTATTTATTTTTCATCATACGCGACATCCTATATCCACCTCCTCTGTGCTTGAGTAAAGCTCTTGCTGGAGTGGTGTTTATGGAATAAATCAGTAGTTCAGCAATATAAATTCACTCTTTGCCCCATCATCTCTCTCACCTCTTCTGCGTGCTGTATTAAATATCACTCTCCCTCTCACGCTCAGGCACACCCCATTCATTGGGGCATGCAGATGGTTGGGAAGAAACACCCACATTCACTTTTGCGCCAATTTCTCACCGAAAACCCGTGTTTCCCCTTGAATATTCCCAACCACCGCTGTGCCCACAAATTCACCTCAACCATGCAGACGAGGATTCGAGGGTGTCTCAGCACCTTTTCCTGAAAATGTATGAGGTCTTTTGCATAAGTCTTTGACGATTTCGTGAAATTTGTTCCAGCAAAAATGAAAATTTAAAATTTTAAATAAGACTACTAAAATTTTTCGCAACCGTCTGTTTTCCTCATTAGTTTCTTGCCTCTGAAAAGTTTACTCTGCACTTTCGCATCAATTTAGAGCGAGACAGTGGTTGTTGAGGTAGAATGTTGGCAAAAGGTGACGTTTATTTGTTGAAAAGCTCACCCAAATCCTCTGAGCTTTACCGCAGCAGCAAATTCTTGTGGTTTCCAGATATAAACTTCACATTTCTCACAATTGCTTCCCACTGGGACTCTTCGACATACTCAGATCAACAGTAATATATTTAAATGTTGCACTTATCGAGATATTTGGACATCCATTTTCACAGCCTCTCTTCTTTAATCAGGCCAGAGTGGCACTTTGGTTATATATTTGTGAATATCAATTGATTTTCTATTAGAAATGCATTTAAGGAGCTAATTGAATGTGGTGGAACGAAGCGGAAATCGATGAAACACGTAAAATGGAAAATTTGATGAGATTTCCATTCAGCCAGAAATTCACCATATAAGGGGTTGGGAGACGATGGGTTAGTGATTGGCACCATTTGCATACGAAATTGGCGTAATTTAAATAAAACTTTTAGCACTTACAGTCCACACTGACTTTAATCCTCTTCGACACTGTCGGTGGCACCCCGTTCGACGCTATACAGAGGTAGGCACCCATATCCAGGCGGGAAATGCGTGATATTTCCAGGGAGTCACCGTCCCACTCGTGCACTGGGTGAGCAAATATTGGTATTGCGAAAGTCAAATTTTAGCACTAAAGCTCTTAACCCAAACCCACAAAAGCCAACCCATTTTCAATTTCAATAGCTGGTACATACCATTTAAGGATTTGTTGATGGCTATTTTCGAGTTGTCATCTCGTTTCCATTTCACTGTTGGCGTTGGACTGCCCGTTGCTCGACACTTGAGCGTCACATTTGATCCTTCGCGCACAATTATATCACTAGAACTCAGAGAATCATCGATATTTGGTGGCACTGCAAAACCAGAAAAAGCACAGCAGATTGATTTCAAGATCATTCCAATGGTGTTTGAGTAGATGAATTGAAATTTTAAGTGCCGTTCTCAATGCATAGCCTGCAGAGTCAATCGCATGTATCAAATTGTTATTTACGATTTGTTTGGACTATTTTTTTTCATATGCAAACACAACTCGGTGAGACAACAAATAGAGTTGAAATGCAGTCCAATTAAAGAGTATTTTCATGAAATATCCGTTGAGTTGACCCAAGTTCGTCTAGCTTTGGGGTTCATTTTGATCTCATATAAAGTATGAATGCTACATTGCTGATTATATGTGTGCTTGGGGAGTGTAGGTATATAGCATAAAAATTCCCTTATCATTTTATACATCAGAAAAGATATCAGTTCGTCGTGAAATTGGAAATCCCTGTGACTGAATGTTAGAGGAAATGGCTGTTGGATATCGTTGAACCCATCCGAAGATATACGAGCATAGTGCACACACCTCCGATGCTGTAATCCGATGTGAATTTTTCGCATGGCATAGCCGTGATATCTTGGCATGAGCCCCAACTCACCGCTTTCTTTCCATTCCAATTTCAGCATTATAAATTCTTCTCTGATTCCGTTGACTGTTGACTTTGAAACTGACTTGGCTCTAATAGGGAAGTCTGTGTTGTGCTGTCGCCAGCACGGTGATGTGGCACCAGGAGTGAATGTAAGTTTTGCCACTGTGGAGTTGGGTGGGGGAAGGAAAGTGAAGTGAAAGGACTCTATAAGTATACGTGTTTGAAGAAGGAGTGTAGATCTTGAAGAAGAGATGCAGAGAATCCGTGATTTTCATCAAATATTAAGGGGTTTGCTCACAGCACAACCCAATACTATAGAGCTCTCTCTGGTAAAAGGAGTTGAAAAGGGAAACGACAAGATTTATTTAGTTTGTAATGAATACGATATGCGAATGGGAAGTCAACTGTTTCCTCAGTAAAATCCGCTGAGGTTTTACGCAGATTTTTCTTTTTGTTGCCTTCCTGGTGATGCTTCGCAAGTCCTCACGGAAGGGAGCAACGTTTAATTTGATACACTAGAGCCACAAGGACCGAGCATTTATCAATATTTGATGGGACTTAGGAGGGCAAAATCTTGGGGAATTTACACTCACCGACTACATGGAGATATCCGAACTGTGTTTTCGCTGTGACGGTGTTGATTTGACACATATAGCGACCCTTGTCTTCCTCCTGGACGTTGTTAATGTGCAAAAACCACGTGCGATGCTTGTCGTGCTTGTCATGAGTGACACTAATCCGAGGATTTCGCGTTATCACATGATTATGGACTGTCAGGATGGCCGATTGCTCAAAATGCATCCACGCTACCTGAAAAGACCGCGCAAGACATTTGGTATCCATTAAAAAGTCATCTCTGGTGAAGTGCATTTGCCAAGCGGGAAAACCCAGAGCGCAATATTTCACGCTCCTGTGAATCTCTCGCAGATTGTCAAAAACACTGTGGCAATATTTACCGGAAAGAGCTTTTGATTATGTGACGGGAAGTTGGAATTTATTTTTCAATTTGTCAAAAATATATTGGGAAAATGGTTCAGTGTATGAAATATTAATTCAATTTTCACTAATTTCACACGCACACAGTCATTAAGCATTTTGAAAACCACAATCAGCACACCGGAAAGCCATTCAGCCGTTCAGTGGCCGCGGCATATTTTCAAAATTTTCCACGCAGTGCCAATCAAAGGAAACTGCACATATGCGCATATTTCACATTCCCATTTTGCAGCAGCGGTGGAAAACATTCATACATCCCGTGGAAAATTGCAAGGAAATTGAGGGCAAATTGCTTATTTGATGCAGAAATGCAGAGAGCACGGGCAAACTGATTAGGATGTGTGATATGTGGTTCAATTAATTGTCATTAAACTTCTAATTACAATTTGCATAAATGGCAATTATGAGGAAAATGACTGATTGACTTTATGTGGTGTTTATCTCTAAAATTGTCGCGTTTGTTTCACCCACGTTTCTTTTAAAAATATGACTTTAAAGCTGTACATATTCTCTTTCCCAACCCCGCGAAGACGGCGTGGAGGAATGGAAATATTTACTGTGTGTAAAAAATATGTATATGCGTCACTAAATGTTTTATGTGAAATCCGTTGAGTGAAAATGTTCCCAGTGTGCAATTTTAAACGGGTTAATCATAGCACTTGTTCACATTTCAAGTTATGAATTTTAAATGACGGCGCATACCATTTGCGAGTGGAAATCAAAATTTGATATTTACAAGACAAATGGTCCATTTTCCTCCCCACAGAATTCCCTACAGTCAAATACATTATTACATATTTATGCTATGTTGCGAATCCGCAAAAAAGGCAGGCTGGAGGAGCCCAGGAAAAATTTCACGGTAATATTATTCCACATGATGGATTTTGAATTCATCACTTCCACCCCCTTGAATATTCCAATGATCAGGCGGTGTGTTGATGGCACAGTGATTTTGTCAGTATTTCTTCCGTCATCATATCATCATCAGCAGCATCAGCAATTCCACGGGGTGGAAATATACAATTTTTTCCGTCTACCTGGGAGCCACAAGAGTGTTGTTTCACGCTTTTACTGTGTGTGGGAGGGAAAAGAGCGACTGACAATGGGGTGAAATTGAAGGAAATACCCTCGCAAAAATTTCCACATTTTCAAAAGATTCTTTGCCACAACAGAAGCGAAGCATAAAATGCCGAATAGGAGTGATTTGAAAGAGTCAGTTGAATAACTGCTATGGACATTCACAATATGTCTCCTCCTAATTTCTGTCTCTCGTAATATTGCAAATTTTACCGACAAAGGGATTTCAAACACCAAACGAAATGTTTCACAAATTATAATAATTTTCTGATATTTATTCAGTTATTCATTTCACGGAACATGCATTTACAATCACCCTGTCGTGAATTAATAAGTGAAAATAGCTGGATATAATTCGATGTGGATTTGGATAATCAGAGAGAAAACCCGATTTTCCGCATTTTATACTACGTTAGCATAAACTGTTTATCTTATTTCATACGCCCGCTTTTTTCACATTCATCTCGCAGCCTCTTTTCTGCATTCTCTTCATATCCAATTCGCCACTTCCCCCCACGAAATATTGCGATAGAACTTCATCGGCAAATTCAATAGCATATATGAAGAGAATGCTTTTTGTTGCATCAACCACAATAAATCCATTTATTCGAGACGGTAGACTCACTCTCATACTATTTCTAATTCGCTTATCCCATTTTCTACACCTCCCTTTGTATATATCATCCACTACCACGGATATATGCATGTAGCAGAGGGAAAATATAGTGATTCTGCCAAAATCGGTCGAGTGGATAATTCACCTTGACTTTATGAATAAGAATGCGAGTCGAAAGGAGGAGTTTTTCCTCCGACAGGCGGGAGAAAAAGCTATTTTTCCGGGTGTATTAAAAGAAATACTCAATGCATTATACAGTTCGGGATATAAGGTGAAGCATAACTCATTTCTGCCTCCTTCTATCTGAATGGGAAATGCAGAGGAAATCGCAAATTTTACAGCACTGCCAGGACTTATTTATTTATTAGAACAATCCAACCGAGGGTCATGAAAGTTCATTTCCCTCACGTTCGTACCAAAAATACAGCTTAAAGTTGAGGTAAAAGGTGTTATATAATAACTTTAATGCTAACAGGATAAATCATCAAAGAAATTGCAGTCTGTGTTTGTTTAGAAAATAGTTCCTACAAATACACGAGAAATAAAGAATCCCTTTTCATTATAGAAAGTGCCTCTGCAAGTTCAACTTGTTCAACGTCTGAAATGATGGAATTAATCCTTTTTTCCTGTAAAAAACTATGCATAGGATCACGTTTTAAATCTATTGCCTGAAGGATTCCACAAAATCCTTTTCCAATCTCCGAATCAAGCGTTTCCCATGATGTTTTTCGTCTCCTTTCGCACCGAGTGGTGCAAAATATGAATGACCCCTGTTTTTACATCCAGCAAAAATGTTCATGCTTGAAAGGCATAGTAATGGAAAGTGCTGGAAAAGAGTGGCGTACAGAATGAGAAGAAAAAGAGCATGGAAGCGATTTTTAATTGCATCCACAATCGCGCTTCTCTGCAACATTAAAAAAGCGTGGCTTCTGATATGAAACCCCGATTTGAATTTCTTCTAAAATGGCTCAACTAAGTGGTATGAGTGTGTTTTTTTTACTGGTGAAATTTTAAACAAGTCTCGCTGTTTGCAAGATTATCCGGAGGAGTTTAATGAGTGATAATTACCAGTCATTTATATGCATTCTTAATGACATAGAGAAGCTTGTTGTTCAACTTTAGCACCTTCTCCCGAGGGGTGGAAACTTTCTTCCTGTCTCGCAAGACAATTTATGTGCCACCCCATCATGGCAAAAGAACTAACATAGCGCGGGGATGAGTCGAAGGGGATGCTCAGTTATGCGCTTCAGCGGATGTTGAGGCATTTAAATCTGTTCTCCTCGCGGCATAAATTAATTAATTGTACGACGAAACAGGTTTTTTCGGTGTTTGATATTGCGCTGCTTCAAGCAATTTTTGATAGGTAATAAATTTTTATCGGGGGCTGATTTTCCAATTACCCAACTTAAATTAGCTAAAATGTGGGGTGCGCATCACAAATGGGAACTTTTCCTGGATTCTTCTGAAGAATCACTCAAGCGAATGTATACGTGGTGGAATTTTTTCCCCAGATCTAACGAAGAGCGACACGAAATCAAAGGTGTGGGGAGAAATTGAACTTTAAATTCAGGAGACTTCAAGGATATGTAAAAATTGCCTGTGTGCATTCCGTAACGGAAAGAGGAAGTTCCGGGAAATGTAATATATTTCCTGAGATATGGTATGAGGCATACATCTTATAAATCATACAACATGGAGACAGTCTATTTTTACTCGCTTCACACGGGATTATCTCATGCTTTATAGACTGATATTCAGCGTATATGCTTACCTTGTAGCTCCCGAGATTCTTAACAGAACAGGCAAGCTTAACGTTCCTTCCAGCAGGTACTGTTATATTTTCTATGATGTCTGTAAATTCAGGCTCCTCGACAACAACTGCAAGAAGCATATTTTCAAATCAACATTCAAGTCCACTTTAAAGTTAGAAAATCTCAAAGAATTTCAACTCTCTACCGTGTGTTTTCCATCAAAACATTTGCCATTACTCTGGGCGACGATGAATTTCACACATCATTAATGTAGATAAATTGGCCCCTCAGCACAAACTCAATGACTTAACAGCAATTTGTTCAGCATGTTTTGAAGCAATTTCTGATCAATTTACTCATCATTGTGCGAAAATGTTGAGAAATTTCCCGAAGGGTTGGGGGTTATCTTAAGCTCTGGCAAATGAAGACTAATGATTGCCTGTCGACAGAATGGTATTAATAATAATCGTGGGCGAAGTTATACAAATACTCCCTTCACCCACAATAGGGAGCAATTAAGATGTGAATTGATGAAATTATTCAATTAAATCCCCTGCTTTTGCCATATTGTGTACACTAATTAATAGATTGTCTACTTAAAATGTGATGTTTATAGAAATATGACTTTTTGAGCTGTTTAGATGGGTTATTTTTGGCATTTCACAAAGAAAGGGTTTTTGGGCGTCGCACAAATGTTATCACATGCTGTACTTGCAGAAGGGCGTTTGTGGAAAATGTGGAAAATTCTCCCAGCGTCACGGTTTAGTTGAGTGGAAATTCTTGAAATATTTGTGAATCACATCCTGTGACAAATTCCACGCATAGGGGTTGAAAAAGGCTGTAGGAATTACCATTAGTTACAGGTATCACACCATTCTTTCCGGATTGTGAGGAGTCCCCCTCAATTGCCAAGCACAGCACAACGAGGGCCCCAAAATAGCACCAGGGGCCCATCAACTTTCCCGGTTTATGCAATTACTCATAGCACACACAGACTGGCGAGAACACCCGAGTCACAGGACTGCCCGGCCCTGACTTCCACTTCCTGGGTAGCCTTCTTCCGCGCTTGCTTCTCTCCACGGAGGAAGTCTAATCAATTGCTCATGCTTCTCCTCACCCCCACCGTCCTGACCGCCGTCGCCCTCAGGATCTGCAGAGGAGGCGAGAAAAAAATTTGAACGCGAACGGACAAAGCGAACCGCTTGGCGTGACAACTGAACGGGTACTGAGTGTGCGAAAAGCCAGTCGTCGTCACATCCTTTCTCGGGGTGATTTCACACTCAATCGCTCTCTGTGCTTTCGCCAACCGTCATCCACAGAGTCTCTCCCGGCTCTCATTTTCCGGTGCGCCGCGAACATAGCTACAAGCGCCAAAATTATAAGCACTTTCCTCGACCAATCATGTGGTGCTCGCGCCGACACCCCAACCCGTGCAAAGGAGATTGGATAGGAGGACACCCGGCACATGTGTGCGTCACGGCGCCTGTGTTGGTGACTCTCTCCAGCTGTGCCTGTGTGGCGGTTGGGGTTTCTTCAATGGGCGGGTGGCACTCGTCTTAGACCGTCTTTCCAGACGTCGTCCACAGATGGGGACACTTTGTGCTCTGAAGGACCTCAATTGCCGCACGGATATTTTCCCCAGCTTTTCATACGGCAAACTGGAAAGTCGTCTCCTTGTGTCCAGTGCACAGGAAATGTAGGAATTGAAGGGTGTCATGAAGGTTGAAATTTCCACTAACGTCCGCACCAAATTTTCGATTACCTGCATCGGAAGTTCAGCTGAAGATTCATCGGAGAATATATGTATTTAAATGATGCTTATTTCGCAATACAATGCTCTGTGCAGGAGATGCAATATCAAAAGACTAAGATGGAAAACTGTAGATGTAAGATATTTTTATTCAGCTCGAGTGACAAAGGAAATGAAGTAAAGGTTTGCAGAACAAAGACTTGTGTAAAAGTTTCTTTTCCTAGCTAACATATAAACAAGAATGTTTATTGATTTGTTGTGCATTTGGATACAATACAATACTAAAATATATCTTATCTAGATATTTAACTCAATTATCCAATATGGAAGGTCGATTTGTGGAAATTTGTATTTGTGATCAAGTCACAATGATCCGTGACTAGTCTTGTTCTTGTAGAATTGCAGTTTATATGCTGTACAGAAGGTGGATTGACGTTTTGTTATCTACAAGCATGGAAAATTCCTTTGCTCTCTTGCATGATGGCACACACCACAACGGGTTTATCCCCGCTTGCATTATGTGGAAGGAGTATATCGCAAATTGAATATCTGCTGCTGCCAGATACCGATAACGAGCTTCTGATTATTTTCCTTTTCAATTAGTTTACAATATTATTCAATCAATTTCCACGCAGACTGTAGTTAATCCCGGACTCTCGGGCAATTGTATATTATTCTGCACGCGCTTTTCATGCAATCGAGAATTATGCTGATGATAATGTTAACAGGTACAATTTAATCCTCTCATAGAAACGTGGGCTCTTTGATGGCTAGGACAAAACATGTTGGTGTGTTCCTTTTGCACATTATTCATGCCGTGTTGTGAGTTGATGCTATTGAGAAAGAACAAAAAGAGGAGTTATTCAGGACTTCTCCCCGAATAATTAAGAACGTTTTGCACCTTTGTCAGGTGTGGCACGTTAAATGCAAATGACGAAGTGAAGCGTCTCATTTTAATTACGAGTGTACATTTGTGCAGATTTTTCTGTGGGCATGTTTTGCCGCTGGAAAAACCTACATACTTGAAAATTCATACAATAAAAATGGCATTTTTTCTCGTTTTTCTATTGAAGATCATAAAAAGACACGAAGTCGCCTTTTTCAACCCCTATACAAACTACAGTTTTATGCTCAACAAAAAATACTGAATTGAATTTGGGGGCATTTTTTATATTCTGGTCACATTCGGAATGAATAAAATTTTATACTCTCATTTTTCTGATTTTGTGTTCAATTGGAACAGCATTTGAATAAATCCACCCAATAGCTTCAAACATTAATTCATAAAAATACGAATCTCACCACAATCTAATGCTGAACCTCATATTTCAATGCAACTGAAGTGCTTTATGTACACATTAAATTGTCAGAAATTATGAAGTGAACTCTCGGTTAGAGGCTGAAAATTGCAAATAATGGTGGGAACACCTGTTCTGAAACTTAAATGTGTTTATCATATTTTGCCACAGTGACAAGGCCGCAAAACCCAAAGTACAGCTGAAATAAACATGCTCTCTCGCACACACGAACGCAACATTTCGCCATAGGTACACAATTTCATGCACAATCGCTGAGGATGCCCAACATTCATATCGCACCCCTGCTTATCGTGCCATCAACCGACGTCAGCCTCCGTCTGACACCCACGGAGCTTGGTCGACAGGGTGTTTACCATCGAATTGCGCTCGCAATTTCATAGCTTTTTAGTTTAAACCTCCACAGGGGCTCTTTTCATGGGCGCAACAATGTAGGGATGTGGGCCATTTTGATAATGACAGATATAAGCCTCTCAATGGGCAAACTAATTAATAAGATAAAATACCGTATTTTCAACTAATATTCGGTTAGCCACGATATTCAAATTGCCACATAGGGAGGCAAAACATGGTTAAGAGACGAAAAAGGCGGATATGACCTGAATTTAACTCAATTTATTGTTCGCTATTGCGAAATTTTAGTTCTTCATTTTATCATGATTTTGTCATATTGCGAAAACTTCCAAAATATGCCAAACTTTGGCTTTTATGATAATTTAATTGGCTTTCAACATCACGGCCAATAAAGTTGCTCTATAAAAGTATTTGTAGTTGCAACTGCAATTATGGAATTTCTGTACTATTTTTGTTACAGTTGACAGATTAAATAAAAATGTAATAGGTTATAGAAGAGATTCAAGAAACATTCTATACAGCATACATAACGTCGTCATGTGAAATTGCAAATCAAAGACAATTTATCATTTATTGCGGGGCGAAAAGTTTTGCCAAAGAGCAAAATCAGCCGGGGAATTCGTTAATCAATGTTCCGATCCGTTTATGCTAGAACATGTTGTTTGCCATTGGAATAATTTCCTTCTGTTGCCACCCGCCACAAGTTTCAGGATGTTTTTCGGCGCGCACAATTGCCGAGGGTTGGAGGAAATCTTGATTATGTGCCTCACCCCAGAGTTTGGGATGCTCGCTCGTTTAGTTCAATGACATATCTTGACGTGGAAAATTTTTGAAGTCGCCTGTTTTTCCGGGTCTCACGCCGGAGAGTTGAAAGAGGGAAAATTGTGCAAAAGAAATGTACTTTACGCGTTATCAACTAGCAATCACATTTATTTTATTTGCCACGGACAGTTTAACATTTTCCGCATACAACACTTTGGGGAGTTTTCATTTTCTTTCGAACACATCCTCCCCAATTTTCCACAGTCACCCTTCTTCGAAGAGGCGTAAAATGGTTTTACACTGCGTTTGCTGTGTGTGCTTATTTCTACGCACGCCGCTTTCACGAGGGGTTGCTGGGAAAATTGTGTGGGAAGATGCATTCCAAGAGGCAGTTAATTTTGCGAGGCTTGTCAGTGAAAAATTCAAGGGTGTGTTGGATTTTAAGACATTTTGTTCTGCTTTAAAGATTACTGGAGGTTTGAATCGAAGGGAATTGTACGCACTGTGATTGAAGACCTTCAATTGGAATCTTTTGATGCTCCAGCGCAAGTAAACAATTGGAAAACATCCTGATTATTCAACTCGAGGAGATCTGCCAGATAAAGCGACTACATACATACGTACGTAATGTATATTGAAAATAATTTTCCTGATACGAATAAAATTCCACTGATGATAAACAAATAAACAACCATCAATATATACACAGCCAATATACAGTTGAGAAGGAATAATTTAAGCAATCTTCTTCTCCCCTACAATTGGCGAATCGTGACGCACAGATGGAGAAAAGAAGAGACGAAGAATGTTGGACATTTAATAGATTTTCGCTTCCCATTCCGTGATTTTAAAATCCAATTGAAAACCTTAAAAAAAATTTAGATTCGATTCTCTATTCGAGACACTTAACATGCCGAATGGAGTGATTGTGGACGTGGCGCGCGGAGAAAATATGTGAAAATAGAAAAACCATTTCACTTTTACGGTTATGACTCGACTGTTATGGCAAAAGATGGGAAATCAAATCACATTTTGCTACTGTTTTTCGTCTCTTTTATTGCCCATTGGAGAATCATGTTGAATAGTGTTTCTCTTCCCCCACGCTTGAAGAATGTATGGATTCGTTATCTATACTTTCCCTTTGGTCATCATTCACCTTTATTCGCATCTTCTGGCGACATGTTTAATACGCTCCTCGACAGAGGAAAATATTCTCAGCGTATGACTCATTTCTCACTATTCCGCTCCGAGAGAGATTTTATACGCTCTTTAAGCAATCAAGGATGCAGGAATACCTTCATTTTTCTCATGCTTTTCACCGCCAAATTGCCCCATGAATCAAAGTTCATGTCACCTCATTATCACCGTCATTTCGTGTTCCATTGAAGGAGTCAGCCTAATTATTTCATTAATACCACGGTAATACAATATAAGCTGCCACAAATAATTAAGACAATTAACGAGTGTGTTTTACGCCTACCCAAATAGAATTTACCTCGAAGCGTCCTTATAGATACGCATGTCGTCATTAGAGATTCGTCACAAAGGGGAGACTTTTAGGGTGGCTCAGACTTTGAATTAGTCTGCCACTGATTTGTCTCACGTCGGCGAAATCTGAAGGGAGAAATGCGTTCCCCAAAGGTTCTAAAAATAATAAAAATAAGAGAAGCTGAGACGCCTTCCTTCAGGATTGCCATTAATGGTTAATATTTGATTTGCAAGAAAATCAAAAAGGCCGTATGGTCACAAATTACTCCAGAGATTAACATCTTTATATTCAGAACGGCTCTTCAAAATACCCCCCATGCAAGAATCCTCAACTTCCGCTCAATTACTCGCGGTTTATTATGGAAATAATTGAGATTAATTTTCTTTAATAATAATTTTAGATGGTTTCACAAACGCCAAAATACACAATTTGCCAAGACTCATCCTTTTATTAATGTAAAGTAAAATAAGCTGGGAAAATGAGCCGGTAGCGGTAAAATAAAGAATCCAGAAAGTGATTTGAAATTCATATTATAAATTATGCTTAGAGG